GACCTTTAGGAGCAGCTTTATTGTGAAAACGGTGATGGTGTTCGACTAGTGGCCAATAAGAACACATCCTTTGTTACCATTGTTTCGCAATTGCATATTGTCCACAATAATTGCAATAAGACTTTTTCTCCAAATTGTGTAATGCTCTGTAGCGTCAGTTTATAACAGAAGTTATAATAAAACCACCCAAGTGTAAGTGTGCATGTAACTTTGTGCACCACTGGGTTCCCACCTGCAAACATTTGTACATAGAGCATTCTATGTTAAATGACAGTTATGTGGAAGTTAGGTGATTTCATTTTAAAATTTCAATTGGTTGAATTGATTTGAGTCACTTGCTCAACAATTGATGATTAATGGTTCTGAATGAAGACTAGCATTTATATCTTTACATGTCTATAACAATGTTGTAGTTATTTCACGTTCTTGAACAAGGCCTATTGGGTATACAAGGCTGTTTACATCAGATTTGTGTGTTGTTGTCAGTAAAGTTTTATGTACTTTTTAGTGCTGCGTGGTTGCTGGAGTGAGGGATCATGCTTGTACCTTCATCCGAGTGCTGTCAGCCAACATCCATTAAGGATGTGAACAAGAAGGGGACAGAAAAGAGAGAGGTTTTGGTCTGTGTGGGGATTGGATTGCGTGCATTCTCATCCATGTTCTGCATGTATGCTTCATTGGTGTGGGTATGTGTGTGCGCAGTTTCCTGCTGTATGTGTGAAAGTAAATGGATATTTTGCTTAAGCAGCAGTCTTCACTTCACTGTTGAAGAGCAGTGAATATGTGGTTTACTGTTATTAGGAGGCATGTGGCCATCTGAATAATGCATCCTGAACACTGCTTTGCTATGACAGCGTATATAGTAATGTTCAAGGCCAGGTGGTCCAGAATGGCACCATAATGCGTCGCCCCGTACGACGTTAAATATACATGAGTAAAGAAGTGGCTTTCTTTGGGAATAACATTAATGCAGTGCTGAAAAGTCAGTGGCCCAAGACATTTGGATTATTCAGGTGTTCACAGAGATTTGCATGGCAAGCATTTCAACCACGCAGTGATGCAGTACTATTGGCCAAAGATTGTTGATTGCGTGCCAACTCTTGGTGGCCAAACATGTGTTATTAAGTCCGAAATGATCTGCAACACTGTGTTTCGGAAGTAGCAACATCTGGTGCTTCGGTATGGAAAGCCACAAGAAAACTTCATCATTTTGAAATGAAAAGCTTTTTGAAATTGTCACAGCATAATGTCCTTTTTTACTAAATACAAAATGAATGCTTTGTCCTTTAAATTATCATTTTAAACTAAGTGAGTATGAAACAGTTTTACTGTGATTGTGACATGATTTGTAATATAAAATCACTGGATATTTTCACATTATCATTCAATAACTATACTTAAACCTGGACTAAGTGAAGTCTAAAACGAACCCTCCTTTAGCTCTGTTTTGTTCAAAACCAACTCCTAGGGGAAATGGGGCTAGGGTAAGTGTTTGGTCCTTAAGCAGCTAAATGCTCCAATATTTTTCACCAGCTAGTCACTTACTTTGTCTGTCTATCATTTGGGGCTGGGAAGGTAGTGTACAGTGGGTTTTACACAGCTTTTTCACTGAAAAAAAAAATTAAAATTAAAATCATTAAAGCAGTGACACTGAACCAACATTGTAAAGCTGTGAAACCAAAACAATGAGTGGAACTACGCTAAAATGATTGTAAAGCTGTGAGCAACTAGAGAGTGTGGTGATAAATCTCTGTTAGTTTGTCACAAAGAGTGACCCCGTTCACATTACATAGCCATTTGATTCATTTTTGATTTAAAAATATTGACCTGTGCTGATCAGTAGAAAACACAGCTTGTTGTTATATAACACAACATATTGTAAGTTGAAAGACAGAAGAACTTGCACACATAGCCTCTGTCTGCCTTTGGTTTCTTCTGGTACAACCTTTTGTTGCTGACACTTTTTTCGCTGTTCAGATATGGGTGCTATATCTCCCTGATTCATCTTTTGTCTCTCAAGAAAAATATTTACCAGGAGCAGTGATGTATCACTGGTATAAAATTACAGCAAGGGTTAAACTTGATTAGATTGCTGGCTTTCTTTGCATCTCTTTCATTCACCAAAGTTGATGGCACATCTCAGTGGGCTAAACTTTCACAGGATCTTACAGTTAACAATCTCAAGCTAATAAAAAAAACTTCCCACCCTTCACAACCAGCTTGCTACGTATACCTTGAACAAATGGACTGCATTTATTGTATAAAAAATTAATATGACAAATTTTCAGAAGACAGCAGAGCAGCAAAAACTTCTTGTTCTTTCACTAAGAGCCACGCAAGAAACCTAATAGTCAGACTGAGCCAATCAGAGTCAGAGTAACTCGGGTCATGCCTTTGCTCATTTTGAGGAATATTCTACTTTTCTGTATGGAGTTCCAGGTTGAAGGAAATTCTTAGAAGTTACATACACAGGGCTGCAGCTCCCCTGCCGTTAGAGGTGCCTGCATAGTTTTTTTAGTGCTCTTAAACAGTTGTTAATCCTGTTGAATCTTCTGCCTCCTCCAAGAGGGCTTTGACTGCTCTTCTCTTTCTCACTGTTGTTTGCAAACCAATAAATCACAATCAACAGTTAGAAAGTACACACGCGTCTCGCAGATGCTGAGATCGTACGTCGGCATTAAATGTATTGCTCAGAAATAGCAGCCAGCCAGTTTTCATCAGTCAGGAAGTTTTTACACAGAGCCAAAGTTGGTCTCCTCTCCAAAACAAGAGGAACGGCTGATTACAGCAGGTAATAAAGCTTGTTAAATATCACGTTCCTCCGACGCTCAGGCGGACACAGGCGTGAGTGCCGCAGCTGATCTGCAGCTCTTGGCTGGAAATATTTTATTAACCTTCCAAACTGTTACGAGTTCTTTAATGAACTTGATGGCTTTATCTAGCACTTTGAGATTTCCCTGAAATGTAAAGTGCATTATAAATAAAATTTATTATTATTATTATTATTATCCAGTTTGTAATTACTTTTTTAACAAACTTTATCGTGTATCTCTTCATTATACTCCCACACAAGAAAATGTTTTAATGGTCAAGGATAGCCTAGAGTTTTTCATTATATTCCAATCAAATCTGATATTCATTTTTAAATTTTGCTCATGGATAGTGGCAAATAATGATGCCTGTGCATCGCTTTGTATGGCGTATAGGCCTACGTCAGCTGGTTAATTTGCCTAATCTTCGCGAGTCGGTGGAAACCCACACAACAGTGGGCTGAAGGAACCTTTTAGTTCCTTGAAAAGATCCGGGACTTAGAAGTCCCCCGGTAATTTTGTGGAAACACGGCTTAGAATACATGTTCTGAGGGAAGATTCCCACATATCCTGGTGAGGTTTGGTCTTTTTAGGCTATAATGTCTAGAGGTTTGCCAGTATGCTGATCAGCCATATCGATTCATCATTGATCATGAGGATTGACTTAACCTTTCATTAATACATGCTTTAAAACTGTGAATTTGGCTGCTGAACTTTAAAACACAATCTCAATTACTGCTGCTTTAATTTTGACTGATTTGATTTATTGACACGTGGTAATTCATTCTATTGCAAAAATCTTCTTGAGTCAGTTGCTTTAAAGTCATCCTAGACCTAACCGAGAACAAGTGGGATGTGTTCCCTGGTGAAACTGGGTGTGTTGCACTCATTTTAGTAGCACAAGCAAAGAAGAGTCATAAATCAGTGAACTGATTCTAATGTCAGTTACACAGCAATCTCCAAATTTTGCTAACATTAGCTACTGTGACATTAGCCTCAACAAGCTATTAGTCATAGCAGACCACAAAAGGCAGTGGCATCCTTCAAGTGTATTGAATTAAACAATATGTGTAGCTTTAAAATGGGACTTTTATTGGCATGGCGATTGTGTCAGAGTATAACACCATGTTCCGATAAGAGCCATTAAAATATTGGGCACAGACAGACATAGCACTCAACCCATGCAACAGCCTATTTCACGGTGTCATGGTAATTGCTCCACAGCCATTTCATTTTACACCTTTCTGAGAAGACCAGTTCATAGTCAATGATGAAGGTTATGCATCATTATAAAACAAAGAAGGTTAAGTTCAAGGACAACAGGACTCGGTTGAAGACACCTAAAGGCGATTCACCTCTCATCTGAGGGAGATCTTCGGTTATGAAGAACTGAGAAGCGAAACATCTTCAAGTTACTTCAACCAAGTCCAGTTTCTCTTGATTTTAATCTTCCTTGGATAACTATGACCGGGATGACGGGGAATCTTCACATACATCATTATAAAACTGTAAAACTATAATCTTTTTTTAACTTCCCTCAAGTTTTTATTTTGGAGAACAAAAGCGGACCTTGTTGCTTAAGGGGGGTATGGGATTGGCAGAGGATTCTCACACATATTCGCACCCTTGTGGTTTGCCAGGAGGTTGTCTTGCTTTGCTGCATTAGGAGGGCCAAGCCCTCCAGTTATTATGATAATGATGGAGCCCTGCCATCAGTGTGTGCTGCCCATTGTGAAGCTAAGCTCTCCATAATCATGATAGGGCATTTAGCCACTTGGAATGCTTGCAGATAGACAGATTTACAGTGGCTAAATATAGGCTAGGCTAAGGATTTGAATGCTAATGACGATACTTGAGGTGTTTTCTTACACCTATGGGCATTAAAATGATAATGCGGGGTCTGCTAACCAACTTCCCTTTAGTGCCCCATTCATGCAGTTCTTATAATAGAGCTAATGTAATTCAAGCAGTATCTGCATTCAGTAGGAGTAATCACCAGCAATGCAGTAGAAAAAAGTAGGAGAAAGAGACAAGATCATGTGTTGGTGCATGACGTTCTGCTTGTTGACATTAAAGTAGCCTCATCAGTGACTTAAGTGTGAATAATCTCTTGCTCTTTGCTCCACTCCTCTTCTCTCTGACTCATCCTCCTCCTGCTTCTGTCTCTTGCTCCTTGGTGTCTCTCTCTAGTTGGTGCTACCAGAGTACTCCATACATGGACTCTTCTGCATCATGTTCCTGTGTGCCCAGGAGTGGCTGACTGTGGGCCTCAACATCCCCCTGCTTTTCTACAACACGTGGAGGTGACTATTAAGTCCACATTAGTGTGTTTATGTGTGTGTGTGTGTGTGTTTGTGTCTGAATTTATGTCCTGGCTTCATCATGTGGTTTTATGTTGATGGTTAAAATTAAGATTAGACTAAAATAAGAAGTGGTTGAAAATGAATTACAAAGTACCATGTGTTGAAAAGCTGTAGATGACACTATGGCTTAAGATATGCTTACTTTTTGCCAATGTTTAAGTGTTGACAAGTATTTCTAGGAATTATGTCCATATTGAATGATTCCTTAGCACACCATTTACATTCAATGCTAATGTTCAGTATAAATGCAGAAAGTAGTGTGCCTCTGTGTACTGCAGCAAGGTGGACAGTAGCGATGTGGGGGACTGGATGGTGGACGAGTGTGTAAGCGCATCCCATTTTTATGTAGGAGATTTGTGTTTGCATCCTGTCACAGACCTGAAATTAACATTCCCTATTTTAACCTTTACCATGGTCTTTCCCCAACCTTCACCAAGTGATTTAGTTGCCTAACCTCAACCATTTTCCATAACCACAATCTTTCCTTTCCAAACCACAAGTGCTGAGAATTGTCAAAAAACATTGGCATTGAACGTAATCTGGGTTTTTGCTTAATCATCCGAAACCAACTTTCCTGTCTTGTGATGGGATTTCATAGACACAAGTGTTTTTAATCAGTTCCACCATTGCATTCTGCTGTTGTAAATAATCTCTGGTGCAACAAATGTGTATTGACAGAAAAAAAGTCCCTGTTTGAGGAACAGTTGCTGAGCAAGAAATGACAGGGTAGGGATATAGAAGAGTATTGAATAATGTTTTTGCATGGGATTTGATGCTACTAAGAAAAGTTAGAGTTATTTAAAGCTAGAGTGCGGAACAATAAATGAACATCCATTCCAGTCGAGCCCTTGCCAACCAGCATTGGTTGGTTTGCCAGAGCTAGCGACAGCAAAAACTCAGTATGGCAGAGCCATAGGGCAGAGCCTATATGTCATAAACATGTATGGGCAGTGTTGTGTACTCTCACTGTCAGAACACTGGAAGACAAATGTTCTGCATTGCAGGTTTAAGATTACAATTTGATTAAGTCTTAGTTCATGGATTTGCATTTAAAGTTTACATTAACATTAGGCTTAGACAGGGTATGGTTGAAAATTAAGTAGAAAGACACCCCTATTGAAAAGCTGCATTTCACAATAATACTCATGATATACTTGCTTTTTACCAAACCGTATGTGCCGACGAATGGGTGCGATGCTAGTGGCATTGTTCACATTAAAAAATATATCCACTAGGGGTCGAGATAAGGGCCAAATTCAGTAATAATATCATGTACTTTTATTTATTATTCTGTTAGGCCTAAAGCAGACGTGGTGACTGTTTATTCTGACCATTCTGGGGGGGTTCGGGTTATGCTTGATTGATACTCCTGTGTAGTGCATTTATAATTTTGCGTAGTTGTGTCCGTCATTCTGCAATTACACCCCCAGACGCGAGTCGGCAGTAGCGCTACAGGGTCCACTGTGTTGACTTTTGCCGGTCGACCAGGCTATCTTCCGGGTTAGCGCTCCGCTAACGATCCACCGTGTTACAGCCGCTGTTTTGGCCGCTAGTAAAAATTACTTCAAAGCAGAGGACGCTTCCTGTCGGCTTGGAGGAATTGCGGGGCTACCCAGCCAACCAATCACAGTGCTTACGGCCCGAGTCGCCTCAACGTGTAGGTACGTTTTTGAGGAGGTGCACGTCAGGCGTTGGCTACGGGGCTACACAGAGGCTAGGCCATCGTTTCGACGCAGAAGTGTAAATTACACTTTAGATGTAATGTAATGAATAGTTATAGTAGTAGAATGGTGCATGTGTGTTCATAATCTATGAGCACAGCAGAAGCAGTGACAGCTGTGGTCTTCACATCCTGATGTACCACTCCTGCCGTTCACGTGTTTAACTGCATTTTGCAGATGTCTAGCGTCCATTTCTGAGGATGCACACAGCCAATGTTTTAAAGAAACGGCGTTGTTAAAAGCAAGTATATCAGTGTTCTAACACATCTCCAGCCTCTGAATGGGAATGTCTGGAAAAATAGGTCACCAGTCAGTGATCTTCAGCTTTGAGTTTGCTGCTCCTTCTTCGTCTGTTATTGTCTTTGTTGCTGTTCTTCCCATCGGTGCGGGTTAGACGTAGACTGCTGGCAGCCTGTTTGGTTTAAGCTAATGTGCGGAGAGGAGAGGAGAGAAGTACATTAATTGGAGACTGTGCCAGAAGTCCACCGGCTACAGATGCTGCTTCCTGCACAGCTGAATGATGAGAAGACATAGAAAGGAAGTGAGAGAGGAGGAGGGGTAAAATGAAGGTGGATGTAGCAGGAGGCAGGACAGTGAGGCAGGAGAGAAAGTGAGTGAGCAATAGGAGAGAGGTCTAATATTGACAAGGTGATTCAGAGGAGAGGGAGAAAGAGAGGGAGAGACACACTGATGGTGAGCTATTTAAACACAGAGGTCATGGAAACATACAGTATGTGATCATGCTAACATATATTGACGGGTGTATATGTACAGTGTATGTGTGTGAATTGTATCCCACGCTTGAGTCCACATGTCCACATGATGCTCTGCAGAGTAAGAGGCCAGATTGACAATCTTGTTATCAGCAAAGCTTGTTGTGTAACCAGGAAAACCATTGCTTTCTAATTAAAGATTAACTCTAAAGGTTAGCGAGGTTGGGCGGCTCGGTGTTGCAGTGGTTAGCACTGTCGCCTCACAGCAAGAAGGTCGTGGGTTCAACCCCGGTTGCCCCGGCCTTTCTGTGTGGAGTTTGCATGTTCTCCCCGTGTTTGCGTGGGTTCTCTCGGGGTGCTCCAGCTTCCTCCCACCATCCAAAGACATGCAGGCTAGGTTGATTGGTGTCTCTGAAATATGAGTGGTTGTCTGTCTATGTGTGGCCCTGTGATGGACTGGCGACCTGGGGTGTACCCCCCCCTTTGTTTTTTTAAGTCGGTTAGTTAGTTTTTGTGGTGCTTGAGGCATTAAAATGTGTCTTTCCAGAAACAATGTCTGACAGGGGCATTTTTGTGTTCTAAATACAACAGGAAGTTAGGAAGTTAGTTATTATAGTTTAGACCTCTTATTTGTCTTACTCATCAACGCAGTCAGCAGTAATGGCTGTGAATGCAGCTGTAACAAAATACAACAATAATTAAGGTGCAATAAAATCCTCTGCAACCGATAGCTGCAATTTGTGTCACAGTTTGGACTGCTTCTCTGAGTCATAACTCAAAACTGAACACACATACACGGTACAGATATTTTTAGATTCAGTGTGGCTTACATTTCCTGGAGATATCATTTGAATTATGTCCATCGCAGATAAACGTCTCTTGGTGCCAATTTGCCAAAATGTTAACAAATATAGGCAAACAATATAAGACACCCCTTACTGCCCGAATCCATGGCAACGTTATACTTCCTGTTTACATCCCCCAAATTGTGCAAACACAATTGACACAGCTGGCATACTTTTGTCTGAGTTGGGGCCCACAGTGTGAGTTTAAAAGCCCCTGATACAGAGTAACATTGTTTCTGGAAAGACGTGTTGTTGATTTGCCACAAATTAATTTCCATTCACCTTCAATGACATTATAAATGTCAAAGATGAATATCAGAGCCAGATCAGAACCTCCGCATATAAAACCAAAACCGTCTGGGTGGCTTGGTACAGCTAAGTGTAAATAACAAAATAGTTGAGGTTATTTTTATTTGGGAGAACTGGCCCTTTAATAAGATGACAGAGGAGAACGTCAGGCAGCCATGGGAAAATTAAAGGGATGTAACCATTAGTACACCAGTATGTACTATACTGCATCACACACAAATCCTACTTAGTCAAGTTCTTTGTAAATAAATGTATTATTTATTAAGCTACAAACCATACACTACTAAATACACACATAACTAACAACTACTAAGTATAAAAATGAATAAATAAATACAATCATGAATAAATATGAATAAAGGCACTGAGCCTAGAAATGCAGAAATGAATGTAGAAAGGCGACCAGTGATACATACAACCTGCATACAACCATAAATAAATGCACTGACTATAGCAGGAACAATTAATCCATTGATAGACTGAATTGATGAAATCATTTATATAGCACCAGACAAGGTTTATAAATGAGCAAGAATAATATATTAGCCAAATATATAAGAAATGCATAAATAAGTTAAGATAGGAGATTAGTAGAAGGAACCTCTATATTGACCCAATGCTGAGTCACTGTAGTAATTTGTAACATCAACCCCAATAATACAGAGAAATTATTTTGCTTCTGAGTTTTAGTTGGCCAGGGGAGAAATTGCTCAGGAAAGGGGAGGAAGAGGAGTGGTGCTGTTTCTCTGTGGGGCTATCTGAGGCAGGCTTGGATGCGTTCGGTCCCATGGAGAATTTCAAATATCAGATGTCTTTCTGTGTGTCTGCTCCTCTAGCCCTGAGCGGGCCGCAGGATGGCGAGGTTACCTTTAGCCTTTGTTGTATTGGCAATGAGTGCCAGGTGATGACTTAGTTCTAAAGTTCATCCTGATCCTAACGGTGGTATCACAGGTGCTACAGCCGACTGGAGCTGCTTCCTTAAGTTGAAAGTGTTTACCGGGTTTTTTTTGGTGCAAGGATTCTTGTGCTGCTCGGTTGGCCTGCAGGAATTTGCCTGCATTTACTAAACTGGCTTAGCTTGTCAGAGCAGGCTCGCAACCTTTGTTTTTCAAGCACTGGGAGTTCTTGCAGGCCTGTCGTAAATCGAGAAATTGTCATTCAATTTTCTTTTAGCAACCTCCAGAGTCTTGCAAAGGTCATGGGACAACCGTGGTCCCTGGGTAAAAGCTCATCACGTCTCTGGACAGACTTTAAATTCTTTATCATCACATCATTACTATCCTGATCACGCTACACTAATGTATTTCCAATGTAAGTGATGGGGGACAGGCCGACTCTTATGTCTCCACTGAGAATCAGACACAAAGAAGAAATATTCACTTCCTGTGACTCAAAGTGTGACCGAGCAGCATGCAGACAGATTATGTGCCTGGCCTCAGTGGAGAAACCTTAATTATATTAAGTCTGGGATGATGTAACTGACTGGTTCATTGATAGGACACATGTCCTTGTTTATTAAAGTTTTTGCCAGACTAAAATCTCTCACAATATGTGAATGTGGGGGAGTAGAGGGAAATTCCAAGAGAGGCTGGCCATGTAGTGTTAAAATGCTCTGGTAGCCAGCTGAATCCTTTTCAAAGTCTCTGTGTATGTGTCTGTTTGTGTTTGTGTTTTGTTTACCATACTCTGGAAGATTAGTCCACAGTGAGCATCTCTGTCTGTTACCTTTGCTCAGGGGAATTGTGGAACAAATGGTGTCAATGGTTCCTTGTTATTATTAATGTCATATTTTAATATTTTATATATATGTATGTAGTAGTTTGTTTCTATTAGCTTACTTCATTTACCTCATCATCAATGAATTGTGCATGTATCTTCTGTCATATTTAGTGACTCATTACAAAACCCTTCTGTCATACATCAAGATGCATTTTCAAGCGCATTATTGAAGATTTCATTCCATTAACCATTTGTTAACCTGGGTTATAACTGAACAGTGCAAAAAACATCATACCCTGCAAAACACAATTTAAATGTTTAAATGAGTAAAATTCTTAATGCAACTGGTCTATAACTTTAAGCTGAAAGAGTCTCACTGGGATGTAAAAGCTCCAGGAAAAATCCTACAACTCCCCAAAGAAGCTATTCTCCTATTATTCGCCTCCAGGCTTTGTGTTTTGCACATCTTCATTTTACACAGCTTTAACAGAGAGCTGTTTGCGTTTGAAAATATTGATTATGCTAAAAGCTTAATCAATAACATATGCAGATTCTATAATAGGGTGGATCTCTTTAGCTTTTAAATCAGTCAGCGGATGATACGGTTGTAATTTGAAAGGGGAGCAAATGTTTCAATCAAGTTTTATTGAAAATGACTGTTTTACTAATTTCTATGCAGTTGGAGTTGTAATTCACTTATTGAGCTGCCTGGATTTTGAAACTTAGAATAAAGCTGATACCTTTAGAACTGCATAACTGACCCGGGTGAAAATCTCTTGTTGGGAACTTTAACATTTAACAACATTAAACTTTAACAAGTTTGACACATCAGACATCTCATTTCTAGCTGGTGACCGTTGATATTGTTGACTAAAATCAAAGTTCGCTGGCAGATTTGATCAGCTCATTATTAAAGGTGGAGTAAGCAATTCTGGAGAAATACAACACCATGACAAATACAATGATGTAGAATAAACAATGACACAGCGAGTAATGTAAATAATGTTGGCTAGGTTGTGGGTTAGCAAACTGTTGTTACAGTTGCTGTGAAGCTAACATGCAGAGAGGACGAGGCAGTCCCATAGCCAGCACAATACAGCGATACTGACGACTCTCCTGCTACTATAGCTAATATCAGACCATGTCTTGGCAAACTAGAAAGCTACCTGGCCATGTGCAGCTAGCGGACCGTGAGGAGATATTTGCTGAAGCTGATAAAAATACATTTACTGGGTTAGAATCGTTTCCCCTTCCTTTAACTACGTGAGTTGTTCTAGCAGACTTTTAAAACAAGAATCCTGTAAAAACGGGTTCACACATGACATTGTGCTAAAAGACTGAGGCCAAAGCTACATGTCGCTAGCAAGAACTCTAGCATCCTCACCAGTTGTTGAAATAAATAGCCCCATCTGTGACCTCAGCACCTTACTCTGTGATTCGGTCACAAAGTGTTACCTAATGGAAATATTCAGCCCATTCTCATCTCAGGGCGTCATATACCGACGATTTCAGAAAGAGTGACAAAGTGTAGGTGTTTGACACTAAAGGGTACCTTTGAGACGCACCGGGTACAGCCATAGACTGTATAAAAGAAGTGGACGTAGCCACTGTGACATCACCCATTGGTCTGTGGACTACTGTTTTGAAGCCTTGAGTTTGGCATTTTGGCCATCAACATCTTGGTATTTTTGGAACCAGTAGTTACCAAATTTGGACAAGAGGATGGAGCTTAGGTGGAATACACATTGACAGAATCACAAGGTAGCCAAACCCCAAAGCATATCTTTCTTTATTATCTATTTTTCTCTAAATGGGACCATAATATGATGATTCGGACTATAAACTCATTAGGAAAGTATTTACTGAGGCAATAAGTGAGAATTAGGGTCATTTCGTCATAGACTTATTTTTTGCAACCAGTGCTGGCCATTAGAAGAGTGAAAATTCAAGGCACTTCTGTATTGGCTTCACTTTTCAGACTTGGATGATCCCACTTGGGAGTAGCTAGGGATCAAACCAGGAATTTTTTGATTACTGGTCAACTGCTTGACCTCCTGAGCCATGCCACCCAGTCAGAGGAAATATTGGATTTAATTTTGGTCCCTGCCCAGGCAAACATTTTAACATTCCAGGCAGACAGTAGACATTAGTGAAATCACAAAAATACTTTAAAAGTTGCAAACAGCTGCTGGATAACTAGCAAAACTAGTGTATGGACTTTTCCCCATATGGTTAACACTATGATTAAATCACAGTATACGCAAAAAAGTTTCTACAAACAAATTCAACCACTATTCCGCCCGCATTCTGTTGCATGATGGTGTCCCCCTAACTCATCATGCCATCTTTTTCCATACTGTCTCCTTTCCCATTTCCTACCATCATCTCCCTGCCTACCTCCCTCCCTCCGCCCTTCCCTCTCCCCCTGGGGTCTGGAATGGGTCAACTACCCGCGATGTGGTCTTTGCCCTCTGTGGTAGGTACTTCCATTCCCCAACGGACACAAAGGAGCTTCTCTACGACCCGGCATCCGTGATGAATGGCGACACGCTCAAGTTCTGCCTGAAGGAGGCCTGGTGCAAGCTGTCCTTCTTTGTCCTCTCCTTCTTCTACTATCTCTACTGGTGAGCATTTGGCAGGCAGTGTGTGTAGATAATTGGATTACATGTAAAGAGATTACATTAATCTGATTACAACAGCTAGAGTAAAAACCTATGAAATTAAGTCCGTAGATGAGTTTTTGAAGGGAGATGGTGAAAATGTAAAACTAGAAAACTGTGAAAATCAACACTCACGTACAGTATGTTTGATTCCAGCATATCACCTGGTTATGTCACTTGGTTTTTATTTCTTGCTCTGAAGAAGCAATGTGAGAGCAAATCATCAGTTTTTTCTCAGGCAATCACACGCTGTTCTTTCACATTCTGTAGATATGTCAGGTTACACCCTAGGCTACTGTTGCATGTGATGTTGAGATAATTCATTGATAAGCACTACAAGAATGCTCAGGTGGACAGCAGAAGGATAAAACTTTATGCATTGGTAAATAATGTTCATTGTTCTGTGTTTTTATACAAAAGATGGTAATTCTGTAGATTAAGACATTTTTGAAATTGCACATAGTCTTTCGCCTGTGCAATGTTTTATGATTTGTCTAACTAATGTTTAGCTATTGTTCTGCTGTTACATGATAATAATGCACACAATGTTCCCGTCCATGTCTTATAATGCTGCTATTAATCACTCCGGATTCTTGTTCCATGTGTCATGTGGGTGCTGCAGTGTGTGGAACCTGGACATATCCCTCTAATAGGTCTTATCAATGGAAACACTTAAAGGTACAATCCTTAAATTTTTTTTGACTTGTTATGCTTTGGTAGTAAATTGAGACAGAATAGCATTATTCTTGAGAAAATCTCACCCCAATGGTCTTCCATAAAGCCACCGCAGTGTGATCAACACTAAATGTGTTGATCTTGATCTGTAGAAGGGCCACGTTTGCTATTAAAGTGTCATGAATGACTGGTGCGGCTTTCTGGATTTAAGCTTTAAACTGAGCTCAAGATTTTTGTGGAGTCATGCCTGTTACAGACTGTAATTCTCTGATGGCCCAAGAGTTTTTATGTGCCTGACATGGCAGTATTAGCACAGAAGAGGCTTTTTGATGATCGTCCCGTAACTCAAAAGGATTGCAACTTTAACACAGACTTGTTTTTGTACGTGTGTGATAATGCTGTGATTAAACATTTAACACATGCTGTAAGATTCCTCCGGAGCTGTAGAGTCTGGCTCGATGATTGCAGGCCATTTATTATTATCATTTTAAATATCAATAAATTTTATTGACATTTGTATTATTACCACTGCCCTGCTCTTATGTTACATCTCTATGTGGAACAAGCATTGTGCTACTGTGTGTTTTCTTTCTTCAGACTTATGAAAAGTGCAATGAGATTTCTGTTTTATAATTAATTTTTAAATTAAGTTTTAAATATAGTCCTTGTAGGGAAATGATGTGCTATCTTTTTAGGCAGTGTGTACTTTGTTAATAATTAATAATTAAGTTTATCACAGCAATACCACACAGGTAGAAAACCAACATCATGCGAAATGTGGCAAGGGCTATATTGTGGTGTATGTTTGCTTTTGATAAAAGTAGCATCTCTACAGGTAGCCTGACATTACATCCTAAAATCAGTGTACGCCAGGGAGATGATGTTCTCCTTCTTCTTATTTCTTACATTTTACAAGATATTTTAAGATCATGTGAATTGTTTACAAAAAAATGCAATATACCTGACATCATTCCCCTGGTAAAAGCACCTTGTCGAGGCTATTATGATACTGATATCATGTATTATTATATTGCATATTACATTTTGAACACATGACCCCTGCATACATGTAGAGTAGAGGCATGCAGTGAAATGTATTTTTATTTAAGTCCTTTTTTGCAATTCAATTTTAAATGGATTAAAACAATGTCCTGACTATAAGAAGACTAGATAGTGACACCTTAGTATGCTCCCTCCTGGCATGGTATAGGGGTAGAAATTCAGGGAACAAAAGCTAATGCTCATCCATTTCATACCAGTGCCTGCATCAATCAGTAGATGAAGTCAGCATGTTAGGTTCAGAGAACATACCGGTGGTTTTGAATATTTTTATGAATATACCTATAGTGCATCCCAGCTAGTTTGTGTTGGGCCTGTTGTGGACACTGGGTGTCTGTGATTGTAAGCATTCATCTTGAACTTATATCATCGTGCTTTTCCATCTTAATCCATCCTGTCCTGTTTTAGCTCATGTTGGATTGATCTGCTGTGTTAGCGACCACTGGCAGCAGCAGCAGCAGTAGCGAGGTACTTTTCTACAAAGCAGAGCGATGGTCCATTCACTTTCAATTCCATCAAGTTCCTTTAATTTTTAACTTAAAAAACTTTCAGGATGTTAACTATGGCGTGATTTTGAAATCACATTGCTTTGTTTATACAAAGGTTTTCTGGCCATCAGTTGGTTAATTTGATGTAGAGGCTCAATTATGATTATGATTCCCTCTTTTTGTGAAGAAACCATAAACTAAAACTATAATATATTTACATTATATATTTATTCTCTGTCCATCTGAGGTGTCTCCTCAGCCATCCAGAAAGTACGAGATTGTGCTTTAGCATAAGACTTATAATTTAAAACATTTTTGTAGTTTATGATACACTTTAATTCACCAGTCCAGCTTAAAGGGGCAGCAACAAATGACAACAATGACACAGTCACACAGGTTGGAAACAAATCCCTAAAATTACAATACTTTTTGGAAGGGAAAACAAATGCAAACCTTAAGGGCCCGTGTCCACCAAAGCGTTTTTTGCCAGCTGAAAACGCCCAGCAGGGAGCTCTAGCGTGTGTTTTTGAAGCGCTGCTGTTTGTTTATAGCCTGTGTGACTCACTCACCTGCAGTACCCAGTTACTGTAGTGACCGTGCTACTATACGCTATAACTGGATTAGGTTCTAGAGATGTTGCCATATTACCTGATTCCAGCAATGACATTGGTGATTTTAATTATGTTTGGCTTAAGTCATCATAACCAATAAAAAACTACGACAATTCAATCGTGGAAATCAACTGTAGAACATCTCTAACTGTTGTCTGCTAAATGTAGTTCTTCTAATCAGTTTGTATGGGCCTAACCAGGTTGTTCTAATGACATGCAATGGCTGAAATTCAACAACTAATTTGAGATGTGAACTCCTGTTCCTGTTGTAGCCTATAAACCGTGAGCCAATATAAAATCATTTTGTTTTTGTGGATATAGATGCTAGATGGGTGTACAGAACGGGTCGAATTGGAAGTGAAGTGATCTGAAACCTGCTTCATGGTGTTTCTGTCTTCTTGCCTTGTGACACCGACCCCTTAGGTAATACTTTACAATACAGTAGACAGAACAGCCTATTTACTAAGGAATGAGTGAGAATGGGGAACCCCAAACAGAGTAGTCAGGAGCTACTTTGGTGTCAGTATGTCAATTCACAGATTTTTATGGACTTATCGTTACCTAATAAATAATTTTATAATAACTTATTAATATAGTATAGTAATATAGTAGTATAATATAGTATCTTCGGGTTTGTTCACTAGTGACTCTTCATTATCTATATAGTAGATAGTGTATATATATACTATACTCCTAATTTATTCCTCACTCCTTAGTAACTACTAACATTTTTGTGTACTGTACTGTGAGGTGTTACCACCCTTCTTCTTTAAATCACTCCTGTACCACTCGCCTGCATCCGTGACCTAATGACCTGCACAGAAACACATGCACACGTATATTTCTCATATGGTTTCACCCATTTAACACACTTTGTGCACTTAGATTAATAAATTCAATCCTCAATAATATATATATGTATATCAAGAGTAAGAAATCTGTGCACATCGTTCTGTTTTGTTTCGATATAAAAGAGAAGCCCTCTGCTCTTTAGCATGTCTACACGGATCCTGTTCTACCTTTGCCCCGGTTGGGCTATCTCACCCTCCTCAGTTGTTGCTCCTCTGACACTGGATGATAATGAAGCTCTGGTTGACGAATAGAGCTTCCCTTAGAATGTGACCTCTACCCTCCAAACCTCTTACCTTTTTTCATCCCTTTCTCCCCGTGAACTCATTTCTGTCACAGGGATGCTGTGTGAAAAGTGACGGACTCCAGTCACATACTTTTCCCTTGCAAGATACAGACATGCTTCCTGTCTTTTCTCAGCTTGGTTTAATCACTGTGGTCTAAAATACTGGCACTTAGCATGTTGCTGTATGCTGTTACATGCTTGTTGTACGTTTACTTTGTTGTTATTCCCTGTCTTCCCGGGCATGAAAATCTGGCCTTTCTATTTACTCACGCACATACACACAAGCACACACTAGGTTAACCTTGGCTTATTAACTAGACAGATGTTGAAAGCAAATGGAATATGAAATAAGTAACATCTGTCACAGTGCTTGATATGAAATGTTTTTTTTAAATATATCCTTAATTTAGGAAAGAAAGAAACTACGAAATGTCTGACATTGTACTTTTTCATTTTTTTTTATCATATTAGGGGTGAGCCATCGTCTCAGTTCTCTCCATCTGTTATGAATAGTGTGTTTTTCACTTGTACAGCTATTGGAAACACAATGCATATGTTCAGTGAAACAGAAGCAAATGTGTTCATTCGTTGTTTCGCTTGTATCACAATGTTCAATGAAGTGCATGGACTAGATTTAAACGTGTGCTGCATTTATAGCTTGGTAGGAAAAAGAGTTGGCAGCTGAAAACCAACAGTATTACAGTAACACATGAAGTTAGCAAACTCAAGTTTTATGATGATGTAATGTTGTCAGTCAGTCAACCTTTCATGCATTCATCAATAATTTCAGTTGATCGTCTCCATAGGTCTGAATCGGGACCTCCAGTATTTGGATCAACTCGCAGAGATGGACAATCTGTCCACTTTGGTTCAGACTGACAAACCTCAGGAACTATTAGATGGATTGCAGACATTCATGGTGCACAGAAATTGAATCTTACTGACTTTGGTGATCCCCTGACATTTCATCCAGCGCCCCATGATATTGAAATTTTTGTTTTCTACTGAAATATTTTGACCACTAATAGATGGATGGCTGTCGAATTTGGTGCACACATTCAACTTTTTTGATACTCTGACTTTTCAGAAATGAAAATCAAACTTAATCAGCCTGACATGTTATTTGTGTATAGTGCTAATTAGCATATGTAAACATGCTAAAATACTAATCTAAGATGGTGAACATGGTAAACATTATACCTGCTAAACATAGACATGCTATCATTATCAATGTGGGCAGATTTAACACTAGACCGAGATTTGATAAAATGCTATTGAACCCCTTAAACACTAGTTCTAAATGAATTGCCAATAGAACCAGTCACAATATTTGTTTACAGTAACTTATGGGTATAAAACCCCTGCATCAAGTACAATTTCATTTCTCATCTCAGGGCGTCATATACTGACGATTTGAGAAAGAGTGACAAAGCGTAGTTATTTGACGCTAAAGGTAACCTTTAGCGTCTGTGTGAGACGCACCGGGTGCGTCTCTATGAGACGCTCCAGGGCGTCCCAAATAGCCCGGAAGTGCTAGTTAGCTAGAACATAGCTAGCTACGTTCGTGATAAGGGTGTTGACAGTCCCACGAAGCCCCTAACCTTACCACAACCATCAGAAATGTTAGTACCTAAACTAAAAAAGTCACTGACTTTATGAATATCGACCGGCAAACCCTACAGCTGCTAACAGGTAGGGTTAGCCTCCCTT